CATGGCAGCAATTGGGACAGCACAGCCACATGCATCTGGTCCGCAGCTGTGGCGTGCTCATGAGTGAGATGCACTCTCAGGTACAAAGGGCAGCAGTAGCAGGATCACTGGGGAAGGGTAAGCTGGGGTGGGCATCTGAGCAGTTTTTTGTGGCTGCAGTCTCACATCACCTAGTTGTGTGAAGGGCCCTTCAAAAAGGGCGGCAGGTTCCAAGCAGCAAGCCCGTGGTTTTCCTGCTGGAACAGGCTTTGGGTCATTTTTTGCACGATATGAAAGAACAGCTTTATTCAGAAGCTTTATAAAGAGCAGTTTGTATCACGTTTTGACGAGCAGTGAGGTTTACAACACAGCCTTGCATGAAAAAACGCACACGGCGCCAACAAGCCACCCCCAGCAACTCATTCAAGCCTGTCACCGGTGTGGCAACGGAGCAATTGGCACGAGCTGATTTCTCCCATTTGTCAGCCATGACACCACATGGCAGTCTCCCTGTCAGTTGGTTCTTTGGTTGTTTTTCTGAGGGAGATTGTTTTCTTAAGTGTGTTATAATCTTTAGATTAAACAAGGCAATAAATGGACTTTGTGGTGATAAAAGCAAAATATGTACCACAGGCTCTAAATTAAGAATTAAGTTGCTGTAGATAACTTGCTAAAGGCAGTGATGCTTTTGTGTACACACTGAATATTTGTGAAATTTCTTCTGTTCCTCAGGGCTACTCTACAAGCATTAAAAGCAGATCATCCTGCAGGCCGGCCTTCTTCGCCGTTTTTGCCAAAACATTAATAAACAATTTTAAGTAATGCTGGGCTTCACTGAGACAGCAGGCAGTTTGTTCTTCAACAACATAAAATTTATACTGCATCTAAGTTGGGCTTTAGTCTCCTACTCTGTTTGTGGTGTGTCTTGCTCCAATTTATAGGAGGGAGAGGAGGTTCTTCAATACGTCTTATGAAAGAGTCTTCTCACAAGAAATGCCTCGGAAAGCAATCTTTGGGCCAAAACCAGAAAAGGCTTCAGACACCACCACGTGGCTTGAAGATTGCATGAAACTGATGCATAAGTGACCATCCAGGATGGTGGAAAGAAAAAAAGAAGGAAAAAAAAAAAAAAAAAGCATAAGGGAAAGAGGGGGCGAAGGAGGAGTTAAGTGCTACACAATCACTACAAAAGTTTTTTGTGGGCTTGGTTGCAAATGTTGCCATGATCTGCTGGACTTGTTCATCAGAACAAGTGATTACAAAGTACAACACATTGTATAAGTTGAATAAAAAATGCGATCATACAAGGTACCAACACAAGAGTTGCAATAAATATAGTAGGACACATTTCACCCGTGGGCAATTTATTTAACAAGTACTATTTTCATTCCTTCCTTTTTTTTTTTTTTTTTTAGGAAACAATTAATTAGAGTCATTCAATTTGCCACAGACACCCAATTCTTTAAGTAACAGCATATCAAGCTCTAACTGGTTTTGCAATGCCATTTTCAGCACTCGTTGCTCTTGCAAGTTTAATTCTCAAAAAGCATATCTAGTCCAGCTTGGCAATACGTGGACTTGCCTGGTAACGTTTTCAAAGACGACTTGGTGTTTTGCCAGGGCAGTAGATGGAGCAAATATGTTTTCTAATATCACAGAGATTATCAGTCCTTCGGCTAACAAAACTGAACACTCTATTTAGGCAGAGTGAAGGTATCACTGCACCACACTGCAACACTGCACATTGCTGTAAGGTTAAATATGAACAGAATTTTCCATTTGAGAATCTCCAAAGCAATTCAAGTGTTGAGAGATATATGTTACTAGTCGGACAAGTTCAAGTATCGTTATAGTCTATAGAATTTTCAGAGGATAGTGTGTGTAGGATACCCCCAGTATAAGCCATCAGAAATCCCAGTAACCCCAGAAACACACACATCTCTTACCAAAACTTAGACACTTTCCAACAGCCATGTTTTGGATGGAACTCCTCTACTGGTGTTAAATCAACAACTTTCTGACACTGGACATCATATTGCAAAGGGCTTTATGATGGGTTTCTTTTCAGACCACATCTGACAGATATTAGATGGGTCCCTTGCTTCATTTCCCAGTTTGATAGGAAGTTGGAAACACCATAGAGCAGGTACGTGCAAGTCATGATAAAAAGGGATGAAAGAAGGAGTCAGAAGGAATGGTATCACTCTACAGGGAGTTGCCAGTAAGCCAGGATAACCTGTGAAAACTCTGAACCCAAGTGTGAAGTTTAACAGATCCAAATACTGATATCAGTCACCACCCACAACCACAGCAACCCAAAACATAATGCTATTGCAACCAAAATAAGTAATCAAAATATATGATCAAGAGTATTCAGCGTTGCAGCATCATCAAATCTTCAACTTCTTTCTCATAAAACACAAACGGTTAAAGTCAGCTATCAGCTTTCCTGTGTTCAGTCAAGGTCCCACGGGGATTTTCTGTAAAATAAAACAAGACATCGACTTGCCCTTTTTGGGCTTTGTTAATATGACTAAAAATGAGGGAACAATCCAGTGAGTATTGATTTTATATTTCTTTTTCTGGGTGTCCTTAGCCTTTCAAGAATATTTTTTAAGAGGTTCCAGGAAGGTTAAGGGAACTGGCCTCACGCTAGCTGAGTCAACAGACACAGGCCGTCCAGGGAGTTGAGAGAGTTTCCCCACATTGTCAGTGAGTGGATCGTGAAACACAGGGGTAATGGGCAAGAGCAGTGGGGCCTCGGGACAGAAGGTGTTAAATCAAGGACTGTTTTCCTTCGTTGAGAGCTTTCTAATACATCCCCTCTTCACTCTCCCCACTCACGTGGGAGGTGCGAAGGCATCAGTTTTCCAATGGTTTGGATAGTCATTCAGGTTCCTCAGGAGAGGCACTAGAACCTGGGGCTTTGCTTTCCTCAAGCGCAGTCAGCCATCTAGTCACCAACTTCTTGAGTCTAACTGTTGTTAGTCCATCCATCAAATCTCACGGAATACCCTTTTGCTAGCCCAGAGCAACCAAAGTCCATTGCGTTTATGATCAATGTTTCGCCTACCCGTTTTTACTGGGAGTGAGGCTCTTTCTGTTCTGTTGAGGCTAGGTGGTCTGGGGGCAAGCCTCACTTCCCTTGTCTTGAATTTACTGGTGGAAGAAACCATCAGCCCATATTTTCTCCCATAGTTTATTAACTCTTGGGCAACCTCCCCCCACGTCCATGCTTTGTATCCTGACTGCAGATGGTTAGAGACTGCCTAGGCTCCTTCTCCCTGAGGCATAGCCTGTATTTTTCCTTGTAGTTGTATACTCATAGGTTTTAACAATTCTGGAAGCCTCCCTAATTAAAGGGGTTATATCCTCTCAGGATCAGCAGGCATCATCACAGACGATTCATGGTGCGGCTGCAGCTTTCTAGCATACATCCTTTGGAGACAAGCGGTCTTTTGAACACTTTCTACTAATTGATCAACCGTTCCAGTAACAGCAAGAGGGTCTCCCCTTTCTAAAGGGTTGAGAACACCTGCCCAACAGGCAGCCTTCTGTGTTAAGGACCAGGGAGCTCAACTGTTGCCAGTAGTTAAAAATACTCCTGGTCCCCAGTATCCTTCAGCTTCCTTTTCAGTTAATAATATTTGGACTTCATCAGTGGGGCTACCCCTCCATACATATTCTGTTTCTGATTCCTTTGCAGAGCGGACAAAATCTTTTTTTAATTTTGCTAATTCAGTGGCTGAGAAGGGAATTTGTTTAACGTTCATTTGAGAGTCTAGATCATCACTGTTATCAAATGTATATTCAGTTTCTATCAAAGGATGCAAGTGCGCTGGGGAGACCTCCGATTTTTCCACCCTTGCCTTTATTCTTTCAGTTCCTCCTGAAGATAAGTTTTTTCCTGAGGTGCACTATGGATGACAGTGTCACTGGTACCCTTACACCTTAACTGTTCCTTTAAGGCTATTTGCAACAAAGCTGTACCATGTCTCTCACTTTCTAATCGTCTCTCAAGGTTTACTATATGATTCTGCAGAGTCTTAACCAATTCCTGTGTTACTTTAACTGATTCCTGCAATGCTTGTATCATTGGGGTTTCTGCCAAATGCTCTTCAATTCAGAGCTCCACGGAAGCTTTTAAAGCAGCCCCGAGTGCACAGATAAATGGTTTTCCTTTTCTGGCTCAGGTACGAGCCTCATTTTGTAGGACACGTATGGTCTGCAACACTCCACAAGTTACGCCTGTTCTGTCATGCCCAGTCCACCCTTGATAATGAGGGCCAAACACCACGCCTTTCTAAAAGGTCAAACACATTTTTGCTTTTCATAGTGACTACATTGTCACTCATTTCTCAATATGAAGAAAGATCTACACTGAAGGAGATGGGGGTACAGGTATTCAGAAGCTCAAGTAACTTCTTACCTCGCCCGGGAGGCACACGCCTATCAGACAAATGTAAGTGCTCAAATCACTCCTTCCTTTCTTTGAGAGGAACACACAGAAGACAAAGAGGCTCAAACAACACTTTTTAGATTTCAATATACGGAGTGATCTTTTGGGGGGGGGGAGGAGGACACGTTAAAGTGAAAAAAAAATCATTCCTCTCAACTCCAAAAGGCGCACACAGAAAAAAGATTCAAATCACACTTAAGTCACAAGATACTAAAATCACAAAATGTGCAGTGGTCCTCCTGGAAAGGCACACGCATATTAAACAAATGCAAATACTCAAAATTAATTCACATGTCCCAGAGAGGCATACACATAAAAAGCTCCAAAAATGCAATTAAGTTCCAGTATGTGATTTTCCTGGAGAGGAAAAATATTGCTCCTTGCAGCTCCAGGAGGCACACAGAGAAGAGGTTCAAACTATGTCTGGAAGGACAACACTCTCATGACAAGTATCCTGCAGACTATGCCATAAAAAATCTCTTGTCCCAATTTATAGGAGGGAGAAGAGGTTCTTTGATACATGTATACCCAATGGCGAGACGAAGACACAAAGGGTCAAATGTTAGCCCGACCAGTTCATTACAAATCCAAGTTGCTTAAGGAGATGGGGAATGGAAGGTGGACGATAGAAAAGCGATAGGAAATACAAGCAGGGAGTTCTTGTAGGAAGCAAGAGGGAGATAGTCACCATCACATATTCCAGCATTGCTCATAGTTCAGACGTTGATCTTCAGTAGCAATGGGAGCTGTTGTTTGGCTGACAATAACAACGGCGACTGTACAAACTTATAAATAAGTCCAAAGTGGTCGAGTCAGCTCCCTTTGGAATAACAGCTCAAACACAAAGCGGTCAAGTCCTCTCTCTTTGGACTGGCAGCTTCTGGCTTTGGGATCTCAGCAAAAACTCCTCTGTTCCCATCTTCTGGGCCTTGCCATCAGATAAGAGGGAGCAGGGAGGTGCCCACCTGCATCCTGTTTTTCACAGGATACGATGGTATCATTCTCCAATCTCCCATACCAAGCTGGAGTTATTTGGTCACAGGCCAGATTTTCTGCCAGTAAACATTCCTGAGCACAGTATTCCCAAGGCAATCAGCTTCAAAGAAATGCTCTCAAATGTGAAATTGTCCACAAAATGATGTTGATTGTCATACGCCAACACCTCCCTCTCATCTCCTAGGTAAGTCAGAGCGTTATTGCAAGAAATGCCTCAGAAAGCTAACTTTGAGCCAAAAACAAAGAAAGGTTCAGACATGGTGAAGATAGTATTTCTCTTCTTCTGCTTTGTCATGAGTCTTCTGAGGACTGAAGTGAGTGCTATCAAGACCCTGGCTCATCATTGTTGTTTCCTGAGCAGCTGCCAGACTTGAGAAATGCAACACTGTCAGTCAACAAAGCAGGCAAATTCACAGCTTTCTTCTGTAGCTATCCAAGAGGGGGGGGGGGGGGGGGGGGGAAGGGGGAAGAAAAAAAAATTCATAATACATATGCTGTAGAAACTGTAGATACGTATAACTTCATAGGACTTGCTATTAGCAAGTATTTTCAAAGGAAACAGATTCCTTTCTTTGGGGAAGTCTACCAACTGCGAAGTTCTGTTTATGGTTTAAAAGATTATTTTGGCATCCTTCTCATTAAGATTTTGAGTCCCATGCTGCAATTAGGTACACGTGGACACTGGACTACTAGTGTAACAGTCTGTCTGTTGTATCTGTCTACCTTGAAGCTCACTGTTTTTTGCTTGTCACCATGTTCCTCTAGTTACAGAATGATAGAGTCATTAAGGTTGCAAAGACCGCTCAGATCATCTAGTCCAGTCACCAATTCATGCCTGTGACTGCACTAGACCATGTTTCTCAGCGCCACATCTCCACGTTTCTTGAACACTCCAGGGATGGTGACTCCACCATCTCTCTGGGCAGCCTGTTCCAGTTTGTCACCACTCTTGCTCAGAAAAAATATTTCCTGATATCCAACTCGAACCTCCCCTGTCACAACTTAAGGCCATTACCTCTAGTCCTTGCTGTTAATGACTGTGTAGCCAAACAACTACAACTGATGACACAAAAGTGAAAATCTTTAGAAACAGGAGAAAGGGATTCATCTTGGGAAGAGCACTGAGGCTTCTTCCATGTTATTGTATTCAATAGTATCACACTGACCTTCAGAGAAGTTTCAAGTAGAGGATGTTCTGATACCACCTATCACTGCTGTACATATGTCTTTGCTGCAATCCGCCCATGCAGCCAAGGACGACACTGCCTTGTGCCCCAGATGTCTTGGCCAGTGTCACTTCACAAAGAATTGGGCTGCTTAGAGGCCAGCAGGCAGCTCTTTTTCCCTGAAGTCTATATGAAGCAAGAGTCTCTTGTCTTTAAGGTATGTGAAATAATGATAAAGGCAGTAGCTGATATACATGGGACGACTGTGGTGGCATTTTGGCTTGGAGTTCAACAGCTCATGTTTACCGTCACAATGCGTATCTGTCAATTCTGCTCTTTGTGGAGCTCTCAGTCTGGATAAAGGGATAGAGGGGTGTGCAGCTAAAGTCTGTCTCAGAAGCCAAGCTGCCCATAGGGAAGAGGACGGCTTATCCAGATATCTGGATGGGATCAGTATTTGCACTCACAAATAGCAACACTGCATCCGTATCCCAGTTGAGCCTCAGCTGGGAACTGACTAGAATACAGGAAGAGCGGGCTTATTAAATTCACGTTGGCACCTCGTCATTTTGAAGGTTTGCAAGGGCCCGAAGCAGCTGTTTACAAGGCACCCTTGTTTTCTCTCATTTATTCATAAGAGGCAAAAATAGTTTAGAAAGAGAAATCATCTAATCGGCATTCATAATGAAGTATTATTGCCTGTCCCGTATGTTCCCTTCGGACTGTTGCTGTCATTTCTTAACTCAAGCATGTGATTTGTAGCATCCTTTTTGGGAAAGCATCCTACTATCTAACATCCTTTTTGGAAGGCTGTTTCCAAAAGACTGCAGTGAGTCTATGCCTCCAGTGCACACACACGTTTCACTTACAGCAATTTCTCATTTTCTTTCTTGGGAAACTTGCAGGGATCTAGTCACAGTTTTCTCTCGTAAGCTGAAGGTTATAATTCTGAGAAAGGCTTTGGGATCCAAAACAGGTCTTGTGCCACTGAAGATGTTTTCTCAGAATAAACACCACCTCAGCTAGGTTGTATTGTATTGTAGGTTGCATTGTAAGATTTTCCTTGATCATTTTATCAAGGTAGTTGCAGTGGTGTGCTGAAATTACACGTTATCCTTCGCCCCTCTCTGACCATCCATAGCCTCAGTGCTGTCGGAACTGGACTCCCCCCTTTCTGTACTGCGCCACACCTAACAAAATACAAACCCTGCTGTGGGCCTTCTGCTTACTCTTTCAAAAGTTAAGTTGCAATTTTTGAGCTCTTAACAACCTCTGTGACCTGCCTGTGTTTCTGTAAATATCCCTTTTGCCTGTCACAACTACTGTGATGAGAAAGTGATTGCTTACACGGTGTCAGCGAAGGGCCAGAACGTGAGGGAAAAATGATCAAGAACAGCATTTTTCTGGTTTTCTTGACTCTGGGGTGTACTCGCAATTTTTCAGCAGAACTGCTGCAAAACAATGCTATCTGAAAAGAAAGAAAGTACTTTCTCCTAACTCAGCAGAATTAGTGTTTTCTCATCAGTGAGTTATCCGGAGGAGAGGTCATCAGATTTATCCTAATAGAGGAATTTGCAAATGGGAGGCTCCACACGGAGCTTCAAGTAAAGCACTACAAGTGTGTCGCAGTCTGCACTGAGGGAGGCACAGGCCATCATAGCAAAACTAGATGCACAGCTTCTGAAGTCATTTGGTTCTTCTCTGTGTCTGAACGTGACCAAACCTTTATGCCGTGGCAGAATTTATCTTCTGTAGCGCCAATCTGACTCCTCTGCTCAAGACAAGTGATATATTGTCTGTTCACCATAAAAAGAAGCTGTGAGTTGCAAAAATCAAGATTCACAGCCAAACTTCAGAGAAGCTCTCTGTAACAGATTTGCTAAATCACAGCCTGATTGAGCACCTGGTGGGAAGGGAGGGCCAACCTAGGGGAGCTCAGGTGCATGCAATGAACCGGAGTGAGTGGAAGGGGTGGAGCCAGGATACACCCCTTCCTGGATCTCATTTAAGGGCTGGCAGCGGAGGCGAGAGGATCTTGTTGGAGATTCTTGTGTGCTTGAGGCCTTCTAAAGGTAAGCAGCTTTCCTTCCTTTCTTCCTTTTTGTATTTATAGTAGCCATGGCTGCTGCATCTGGGCTCGTCCTCGTTTGCTGTAGCCAAAGGCTTACTTTGCCTACCTGCTATTTTTGTTGTACTTTCCACCACATTATAGCATTGCTTTGCCCCTGAAGCTTCTGTGTGCCCACATGCTGGCTGCTGGCTGGCACCCAGCCCTTAGGTGTGTCTCAACAAGCCTTGGTCTATTGCATGACTCCAGTCACCACAATGTGCTCACTGGATTTAATTCCAGCCATAGCTGGGGCACAGACTATGTTGTATTTATGGGCTCAAAGCCCACTGCAGTTATGGACCAAGCTTGCAGTATCATCCTGTGAAAAGACACCGGGTCTGTTTCAGCCAAAAGTGGGAAGCAATGATTTTTGCCATTTTTTCCCGTGAACTTTAAGCTGTTGACGTGGTGCTAAATTCAGTATGCTGAAGGTGTTTCCATGTGTCACTTCTAATAGGATACAGGTGTCAGACAATTTGAGATTATTTCAAACCTAATTTTCCTAGAGTGAAGATACAAACAGTTACACCAGAAGCAGATGTGGGGCCTTTCTCACCCCTTAGGAATGTGGTTTGGCATTCATCCAGACTGAGTCTATGGGGAAAAAGAGAAAATTATATTTAATTTTAGCTTGCGTGGTTTCCTCCTTTCAAAAATCTACTTGAATGTGCAATAAAGTAACCTATCTCTTTTTCCTTCTGCTTGCACGGGGACTAAGTATCTTGTTGCGAACAGATGGCGTGAAGGCAGGTTGAGATGTGAATGCTCTTTCTCTCCCCACTATTGCTGTGTGGCCACGTAACTGACAAAAAGAGCGCTGTATTTTCCTTTTTCTCCTTTTCCTCAGTGTTTTTCAGGTACTTCTTCAGTATGTTGGCTGGAAGTAACAGCCAGGAAACGGGAGCTACAGGAACTGCCCGTAAACTGCTTTTTGTGGCTCTATATCTGGTCCAGCTCCATTGGGATGCTCACTGGGACTGCACTGGGACTTGAGGGAACTTCTCCTCCCTTCTGCCCTCAAGCTGCTGAGATTTTCTTGAGCTTTTCTTGCACTGTGGAGCAACAGTTCCTTTCTACCTCATTCATGCAGGTGGTCATGCAAAAATAAATAAAAAGTGGCCACTGTAACTGAATAATTACTTCAAGAGTGACGACTCATAAATTCATTCTGGAAGGTGAAGGAGTGAGACATTGGTGTCATCCAGGATTGTGTCAGAGGAAGAAGGGCAAGAAGTCCTCCTACACAAAATGGGGTCTTTGCAGAGGGTAAGTACACGATGGGGAAAACCCCTGGGCGGTGGGTGGAAGGCTTTAGAGCTGCTGTTTATCTGCGCTGCGTCAACATCAATTGCACCGCACCGGTGTAGTTTTCCAGTCAGCCCCCTGCCAAGGCCACCGGCAGATAAATAGGAAGCATCATGTTCTGGCTTGTGAATAAAAGGAAAATGTTTGGAAGCGCTGCTCTACAAATTGAGTTTATTGCATTGCCAGGAAGTTATCTAGAGGCTTTTGGAGACCGACTCAGAAACAGGAAATTAATCAAAAGCATTTTAGAGTGGCTCCTTGGCCACTGAGTGCTCTACTGCTTATTTATACCACTGAACTATGGCTATTTAGCCTGGTTAAGGGTCTGCTCGGATGTCACGTATTAGCCACTGCCAGAGCAAGTGATCTTTTTGCACTGTACATTAAGAACAGAACAAAAAGATGGAAATTCCCATTTCCCAAATGTGGTCCAAATAAACCTCTGTGCTCTTGTTAAACCAGCTGTGTTGAAGAGGAGTGATTATGGCAGGCTTTTTTTTTTTTTTTTTAACCTGCACCTGTCTCTCCTTCTGCAGCTGAGGATGTGCTGGAAACCAATTTCCCTGTAGACCAGAGTGGGTAAAAGCTTCAGGTGGGAATTGAGTTCATCATAATGTACATTTATTTTTACTTATCCACTTAAGGGGAAAAATACCCTAAAGTAAGCTGTTACTGGAACGTGCCATAGCTGCTCACCCGATCTCAAGGAAAACTGTCCTGATTTGTCCATCACAAAATAGAGGAGAGTTGTTTTAGTTTTCACCCTTGTGGTCAGGGAGGTTGTAAGAATGGGAAAGGAGGATGCGCTTCAAGCAGTCGTTTGTGGCTGGTTATTACAGTTCAGCTTGTGGGAAGACTGTATCCTCAAAATGAGTATTACAGTACTGTTTTGGTCCAATATCACTGAACTTTTGTCTTATATATCTCTCTATATGTAATGCCAAATGCAGTCTTTATTTCAAAGTAAGAAATCAATGTAGAAGTTGGAAGCGTTTTGTGACAAATGCTGTATGTGACAGAATGATGATCACTGGGAGTTACTGAAGCGTGTCAAAATAGTCACAATAATAAATTCACGTCAAAAGAGATGTTGCACGTTATGATTAAATATGGTGCTTAAGAAAGATGAATTTCCCAGGGAAGTAGACGATGATATTTCTGCTGTGCGTTTATTTTCTCTGCTTACTCAAAATCATACTTGAAACAAGGTTAATTTTTCAAAACCATGTTCTTTAACACTAGTTACACAAGTGGTAATCCCAGTAACGCCTTGCCACAGAATAAAAACCAGGCCATACGAGGATGTTAAACAGCTCTTTTAAAGGGTTCTACAGATAAATTTTGGGAAGATGCAAACTTCTGTGAGGGATTTTTGGCATCCCGCAAACAGTGAGGTAGCTGTCAACATGTCTACATCCTACACTGTCCAAACACTCACTGTCAGAGTTATTATTACACTATTATTATTTCAGCTCAGGACCTGTGTTTCTGGAAGCGCACATATTTACTTTGATCTTCTACCACTTCTCTTCCGAGCAGAATTATATCAACAAGTGCAGCCATTCAGAGTTATGATTGCATGATAGAAAATGAGTGCTTTCAACACACTACTCAGCAAGTCAATAGAGTTCATAAAAGCTGGGGATATGAACCAGAAAGTGTCATTCGTTAATGTTGTTGATGGTTATTCAACTTTAATCATAATACTGTAGAGCTATTTAAATCTACAGCTCTGCCATACGTAAGTTAACGTAGCATATTTTACAAAAATTATCAAGGCCTGGTTCCATAGATCACTGCACAGCCTATAATTAAGTCTTTAATGAGTTTCAGATTGATTTCTGTATATTTGTGCAGATTGTAAAAAGTGCTTTACCAAATCTCTCCTCCTCTCATTCTGCTTTCAGGCATGTTTCATGCATACAGTCCAGGATAAGCTGAATTTTTATGTGCTGCTCAGAACAAGGGGTAGTTAAGTGAATAGTGACCTTGCTGCTAAGTAGTGCTTGTATGTACACAAAACAATTTTCACACCTCTTTTGTTTTTTTTCTAAGGGTCACGAAGCCCTTTAATACTACCGCTGCTGTTACGGGTAGCAGAACAGAGCCTCGGTGACATCCATTGCAGCATTTCATTCTTTGAAGAGGCAGTACCAGATCTGACCTTGGCCCTGACAGGAGAATAGACCTCACTGCTGTCTGCATCCAGGGTAAGGACTCTGTCATCTAGGAAACAACTTATCTGTCATGTCTTGCTGGAAGTTCTGGGTATCATTTTTTACTGTAATTCTCACTGCAAGTTTTGTTTACTTTTGTGCATTTCTAAGCATTCCTTAGACCTTATCCTGGTCCACCTGGAAATGCATCATATCCACTGTCTCAGCCCCCCGTGCACGTAAAATAGGGTAGAAATAAGTAAGTACTTATTTTCTGGAGTAATTAGAGACAGGGGTTTCGAGAGTCTGCCCACTAAGATGGTTCAGCCCAAGTCATTGGTTAACAACCCATAGTTCTTTCAGCTGTGGAATTCTCCCACTGTCAAGTAGGTTTCTGAAATTTCCTTAGGAAGAGCAGCTGCTGGGAACAAAAACAAATACGGTTGAAGATTTAATTATTTGCTGTCAGATTGTGCATGGACTTGCTTATTTACTTACACCACAATTTTGTAATCATTAAGCCTCCATTCATCAGCTGGCACTGTTCTTAACAAGACTCCAGAAAAGTTTCAGCTGCAAGTTAGGCACTGATTAGTTTCCTAGTTGGGATACACCACAAGCTCTGCTGTAATCAAAACTGCTTGACCCTGTGCAGGAACAGTAGCAAGTATTTCATAACTTAGTATTATTTAAACTCATAGCTAACCTGGAAGAATAGTAGCAAGGTTTTAATCAATAGTAACAATAGCTTTGTGCTTGCTAACCAGTATCATCTCTTGTTCAGTAGCAGTCACAGTCTGCGATAGAATCACACTACCATTAGTGTCCAAAGTGGATACTGCATGGAAAAAAAATGTAAAAGATACCCTAGACCCCTAGCTATTTTTAAGGGCTCTTAATTACTCTTTTGAGAGCTAGGTTAAAGGAAGTTGCAGGCTCTCATGGAAGCATTCACACCAACAGCAGTATGTCACATTTCTAGCAAGACAGAACAAAGTTAAGGCTTCTGTGAAACAGGAACAATTTTGATCTGCTCTTCATTTATTTTTAAGCTACTAGTTTAAACAGAATGTAGTGATAACGTTTGTATAATATGTGCCAGAATGACTGTTCTTTGTCAGAAGAATAGGACAGAAAACAAGCCATCCCACTTCTTATTTTAAAGACTAGGCCATAGACATGAAAGGGCTCTGCCCACTTACAGGTACCATTGACTATCTACAACAGAAGAAACTGGTAACCTAGAGGAAAAAGAGCTTTGAATAGAATCGCAAGACTGGTAAGGACAAGATCATCTAGTCCAACTGACCTCCCATAGCCATTATTACCCACTAAACTACTAAACCATATCTTGTAGCAAAACCATACCTCATAGCAAAATTAGCAGCAAGCGAGACAGTTAAGGAGCACATATACTCTCTTCCTTTCTTCTAAATGGGGCTTCCAGTCAAGCTTCCCATAGCTTCTTTTAATTCTGCACAGAGAAGATTTTTCTAGTACTGTTATTTAAGACTTTACTTTCGTTCTATTTTCAGGTCTTATTGAAGCAGAACAGCAATGTTGGTCTTCAGCAGCTGTGGAAAACAACAAAGATCATAAAGCCAGTCTCCAGGCAACATAACTCTCACAGAAGCAACAGCTCCAGTCTACCTTTCCACCAGCCAAGAGCAAGGCTTCGGGGCTGGTGAGCACAGGTAAGCTGTATTCACTTACATGTTCTAAGAAGCCACCCACGCAACTGCACTCCAGCTTTTGCTATAAAACTAGTAATGGCTATTACTACATCAGGAAAGAACTAATTAAAGCCACTTACTGGTTTTGACAGCTTGATGCTGATACCTAATCAACATCAGTACCACAAAATTAAGCTACCACAGCAATCATCGGGGATTACTAGAGAGGTGCTGCATCTTGTTCATTTTCTGTACATCTCTTGGCTGTGACCTACATTTGAGACAACAGAAACCAAGCTATGTATTGTTACAATTGTAAGTAAAACCAGATGGAAAACAATAGTGTGCAAAAAAAGTGGCAAATGCAAACACAATGCAGTCTGGAAAGACATCCAAGTTTCTTAATCATGTAAGAGCTTCAAGTTTCCAGAGCGAGCCATAAGTAAAGTTCACTCAATTCATTCCATTCCCCTCTAGGCTGATGGCTTTTCATTCCTGCCTAGTGTCGCAGTTGCTTTGCCTAGTAAGCAGGTTGAGCCTTACAGCGCAAGCTCTAAACTCACATCCACAGCGAGTAAGACGGCACCGGAACTTGGCTTTGCTTGTTGAGGAAGAGAAACTTAGAGTCAGGTAAGATACTTTTACTCAAACCCAGATGTCTTTTTAAAACATCAGCTGGATGCAAAAATAAAAAGTATACCTCTAAGACAATTTGCTCTGTATTCATGAAGCGTCTTCATTATTCTACTGCTTATGGTGTAGTTAAGTATCACAATCTTAAGCAGCAAACAATTTTATTAGAGGGGATTCCTACATATGGAACTGCAGTTTAGCTTGCAGACTGGCACTCAGTCTTCAGCTTCAGGTCATTGTTACTTAAACTTGAACCAGATCAAGGCTCAGCAGCCACTCCATTTGCATGTATTATCAGAATATATAGGGTGAAAAGCTAGAAGGGTGAAAGCTCTCCTTCACACTTCATGTTTTCCTGACTAAGTCAGCTCTTATACTGGGCAGCTACAATTGCACACCCACACCACTCTACCTCCTTCACCTCTTAGAAAGAAGGGAAAAATAAAAGTCAGAAAATAAGTCACCACACCACCTCTTCTTGCCTTATACAGTTCTCATTCACTACAGCTAGGGCAGAACCCTAGCTGTAGAAGATATACCTAACTTCACTAAAGCTGCCAGAGATCACATACAATCTAATCTTAAGATAGGACCTACAAGCTCTCCAAGACATCCAGGCACTGGAGCTCAAGACCTTCCCTAAAGGAAGTAAGGAAGTGGGTTCTCCTTCCAGAACAAGGCCTTCCACCCTCAGTCAATTAGCCCTAGAGAAAGAAGAGCCAGGGCACCCTCACTGGCCAAGAAGGAACACAGTTCTGCAAGGAAGGTCACCCCAAGCCCAGCAGCAGTAGGAGCACCACAAGCAATAGAACACATCTTTCCCCCCTCCACACCCCCCCACCCCAGGGGAGGGCCCCAGCAAGGGGCCAAAAGACACAAAAAGACAACAGAACCCACCCTCCCACCAAAAAAAAAAAAAAAATATATCTCTTTAGAGATAGTGCAACACACACTCTCTAGCAAACAAAAAAAATTTTTTTTCAAACCCCCCCAAGAAAAAAAAAGTCAACCTCACTAAAAAAAAATCCAAAACCACCCACAAGAAAAAAAAAATAAAAATCAACTAAAGTTTATCCTCAGCAATAAAATACCAACAAAAGCATGCTTATAGCACTCACCAAAAATAAAGACATCCATCACAGGAGGGCACAGGACTCTCTTCTTCCCATTTAAGGGCTGCACAAAAACCTAAAGAAAAAAAAACCTTCAGGAGGGGAAACCCTGGAAAAGAACTACTCACCACAGAAGTCCCAGACCTGCAGCAAAAACACCTTCACAATTCTGGGATCCACAAGCAATCCTAGTAGCAATGGGACTACTAGGACTGCTCACAGACTGAACTGATCCAAAGCAGCACCCACTCTGCAACAAGAGACAAGAAAAAAAAAAAAAAATAAAGCCCAACCCAGGCAGTACTTTTATTTCACTTCCCTTTTGCCACACAGTGCACCAGCCTTAACAAAACCAAGACAACAATCCAGCACCTTTTAACCAAAACAGAGAGCCAACAGTGGAACTCCTCATGCAGCCCTGCCCCAGGAGACAAAAAAAAAAAAAAAAAAAAAAAATAAAGCTCTTCTCACCCCAAGGAGCACCAGCCCTAACAAGACCAAGACAACAACCCAGCACCTTCCAACCAAAAGCAGGGAGCCTCTAGTTCACACCCACACACTCACCAACAGTGGAACTCCTCACAGGTCCAGGCTTAGAACATGCTCAGACACAGCCCTGCCACAGGAGACAAAAAAAGAGAAATAAAGCTCTTCTCACCCCCAGCAGCAACCAGGCCAAAGGAGCACAGTGCACCAGCCCTAACAAGACCAAGACAACAACCCAGCACCTTCCAACCAAAAGCAGGGAGCCTCCAGTCACCCCTACACACTCACCAACAGTGGAACTCCTCACAGGTCCAGGCTTAAAAGTGACTCTCATACAGCCCTGACCCTGCCAAAGGAAACAAAAATAAAGCCTTTCTCACCCCCATCCTACTTGGCTGTGTCACCCAAATGGCAGACAGAGGAAACCTTGGTGAACCAGCCCCAAGAAAATAAAAGAGGGAGTCCAGCACCATCTAACCAAAAGATGAGAGCCTCCAGTGAAACTGCTAACAGGCCTGGGTTTACAAGAGGACCCTGCACAAGGAAGAAGAAAAAAAAAAAACAAAAAAAAAAACCTGCAAGCAGTGTTTCTTTTCAAACCTACCCTTGCATTGCTTCTTACTCCAGGCAGCTACAGGACTGGCCACGCATTGGTCTTCGGAAGCAGTGAAAGTTCTTTGCAATACCAAGTAAACTATCAGTTTACAACTACAAAACAACTACATAGGAAAAGCCAACTCACTTGAGAAGTAACGAGGGTCTTCAGATACAGAAAATCCTTTCTCAGAAAGCAGCCTTCATCCAGGAGATGTTCTCCCTGCAGAGGCTAGCCCTTAAATGAGCTCAGGAAGGGGCAGACCCTGAGTCACGTGGGAAGAACAGGTGAATTACTTTCACCTGTGCTTCCTGGGCCAGCCGCTCCCCTCGTCACAGAATCATTGAATGGCCTGGGTGGAAAAAGAGCAAAAGATCATCCGGCCAGTTTCAGTGCATCCCCACCCTCTGAGCCAAAAAATAAAAAAAAAATAAAAAATAAAAATCCTCCTGATCTCTCACCTAAACCTTGCCATTTTAGCTTAAAACCATTCCCCCACGTCTATCGCTATCCACCCTTGTAAACAGTCAATCCCCTTCCATTTATACCTTCCTTTCAAGTACTGGAAGGCCACAATGAGGTCTCCCCAAAGCCCTTACCTTCTCAATTCCCTCAACCTTTCTTTACAAGAGAGGTGGTCCTCCTCCAGACACATTCCATGAGCTCTGTGCCTATCTTGTGCTGGATGCAGTACTCCAGATGGGCACTCACGAGAGCTGAGCAGAGGGAGACAATCACCTCTCTCTTCCTGCTGGCCACATCTTCTTTAATGTCCTCAGTCATCACTTCAGGTGATGATGTACTAGTTCCCCTACTAGAGAAATAGGGGAGACAAAAAAGAGAGGAGGGGAAAAACCCAGCTGCAGCCCTATACTGGCCCCAGAAAAAGCTGTGTGGGAGCCAAGCAACCTGCTGCCACAGTCAAGGAAGCACCAGGAGCCCTTCAGTGCAAGGCATTCCCCAGCAGCAGCCCCTGAACTCCTTCCTTACAACTTCTTACTTACCACCACCAGAGCTGGGCTAAAGGGCATAGCTCCATCTTGCTTACCTGTCGCTCTGAGCACAAGGGGTTGCAGCACCTTCAGAACCCTCTGGGCCCCGAGAAAAAGCAGCTCGACAGGAGCCCAGCAGCAGCCTCTGTAACAACCCCACAAATCAGAGGAGCGCAGCAGCAGCAATTCTTTCAGTTACCCAAAAAACAAACCTTACAAAAATAAACTCAAAGCCCAGCAACAGCAGCACTGTGCTGGTTTCCCCCCCCCAAAACAAACAAACAAAAAACAACAAAAAAAACCAAAAACCACACACCAGGGAGCCCAGCAGAACTCTGCTTCTAGAAATACAGAGAGAGAGAGAGAGAAACCAATACCACCCCAAGGCTAGCCCCCCAAAAATCATGACCGCAAACCCAGCAGCCTCCTACTGCAAGGAGCGAGCCCCAAGAGCAGTTCAAACTCCCAGCAGCCCTCAATAGCTCCCAGCAGCCTCCGGTGGGTTTAAGAGGCTTTGGGGGCTGGCCCTGCCCTGAGCTCCAAACAAAGCGCAGCTGTGCCCGGGCAGCCCCAGCTGCATCGCATCATGTGGAGATCATTGCTTTGTTAGCACAGCCAAGCTTCGTTAAGGCAAGCCGTAGCGTTTGACAGCTACCCCAAGGCCTTGGGACTTAACTCACCCATACAGTAATGTCCCCGGTGATGTCCCACTGCAAGCCCAGATGGCTGTAGATATCACATCGCTATGCGGGATGCAGTGGCAGGGGTGAGATGAAGGATCGACGATAAAGAGTAAAGGGTGCAGGATGAAGCTGCAGGCAAAGGGAGGGTGAAGGATTTGGGGTGGTGCTGTCCATCTCATGCAAACTGTGTAGCGTGGGATAACCATTAAGAGGGAGTGGCTGTGCCTGAGTATGGGTCAAAAACACTGACAACCGGGACAGCTTCATAGAACCATAGAATCGTTACAGTTGGAAAAGACCTATAGGATCACAGTACCAAACCATTTCACCATGTATTGCAGTTAGCTTGGGAAATATAGCACGACACTAATAGCAATGAGACAATATAATAGCTTCCCCGTGACTGCGGCTGGAGTGAGGACACGTTGCATCATCTGTTTCGTCACGTTGCTCTTCTGTTTTCCGTTACTGCTGAGTGTACTTAGTTCCACAGACACTGAATTCTAACCATCTACAAAAAAACAATCCACTTTGGGAAACCCAACAAGCTAATCTGAAGTGTATTTTTCTATGAATCTGTGTAACCCACTACTTATTTTCATCCACATCTTGATGCTTGAGAGCAGTGACTTATTTTCAACAGACTGGTTTATGCAATGACTTGTGCGCTACGACTGACGTATCTATTATTTATGTATATCTGACTAAAGCGACGCTCTCGTTGCAGAGCAGAGATTCCAACCTGCTGTGTCACTAACTAAACCCCAGGGCTTGGTATTTGCATGTATTTCTGCTTTCCAAAGGCTACAAAAAAGGAAAAGTAAGGGAAATCTCACAGAATGAATGCTAAGAGGAACTTCTTGGAGAATTTCACTGACAGAAGGATGTCGTGATTTTGGGGGAAATCATCCGCTCCGTTCCATATTCAAAAGACCGGTCCAATTTTTATGGGTTTTGAAACTTAGAAGCTACAGAACTTTGTTCCTGAAGTATTTGGTCCTTGAGTTTTGCCTCTTGCCCTTCTCCCGGTCCTGGGAGTGGTCGGTACACAACGGCATCGATTCTTCCCCTGGTTTTGTTTTAGTCACTCTACCAATGAAAACGTGATGTTTTTTCCAGTGTAGATTCACACTCAATCACAGATTCGTAGGGGCTGGAAGGGACCTCTGAAAATCACGGTGTCTGAGTCCCTGCAAAAGCAGGTTCCCTACAGCCAACTGCACAGGTAGGTGGCCAGATGGGTCTTGAATATACCCGGAGTAGGAGACTCCGTAACCTCAGCACCTCTGTTTCAGAGCCCCGTCACTCTCACGTTAAAGAAGTTCTTCCTTGAAGATGAGAAGGCAAGGAAAGAGTGGTTGCAACACCAAAGTTCAAAGATAAGCATTGCTCTCTGCACCTCCGTGTTAGGGTCAGAAGAGTATGTGACGGTGCTCCTGCAAAAGTTTGCATCCAGACTGAACCGGAGGGCAGAAGCCCCTACGCTCTTTGTGTGGTCTTGTGATCTGGACCTAACACGGATGACGCTCATAAACTGCAGTCCCTACAGGGGTGTTTCCCTGGCCTATTAAAATAAATAAATAAATAAATAAACAAAATAATAATAAATAAATTAAAAAGAACAAGGAAATTATATGAACCACTATTTCTCTCCACTGCCATCTAGTGAAGTTATCATGCTGCATAAATTAAGGCTTTGACACTCTCAGCTGAGCTTTAAAACAGCTAACCGTATCTTAGTGGCCTATGAGACTTTGTGCAGGAAATGGAGTTTGAGTGTAACGTGGGTAATATCCTTAGGATAATAGCAAAAGGAACAAAGTAAACTAGGTAGATTAAGTTGAATTGTGGAGTTCTAACAACGATTATGACTATAAAGACACTCAGAAGGGTTTTGAATAAAGCAGGGACCAAACGTCTGCAGGCTGGCAGTGATTTAAACTCAGGCTATTCTTTCTTTGCAGAAAGAAAACAGGTTTCCTGGGGATGAAAACAAAGTAAGTTCAGAATTAGAAACGTATCTCTCCTGACAACTGTGCGCTTTCTGTTTTGTAAACTGTCCTAAAAGATTTCAAACTTCGGATTTAGTTGCTGTTACTTCTGGAAACGTGCGGACGGTTTATCTTCAGACGGATCATCCCTTTATTCAGGTCTGAAAGGGACCTCGGAAGTTCTTTACGCATTGCTCTGCACCAAATCGAGCTCATAATTACTCCGTTCCATCTCTTCAAAGATGCAGTCGACCAAGAATCTTTTCAGCCTCTGATCTTTCCCAATCCACTTTTCTTGTCTCATTTGTCAGCCTGCATCTTTAGTGGCGAGTTTGTATCCTCGTGTCCACAGAGTGACCTTTATCAAAATCCTCACTGAAGTTCCTCGGCCTACAATTTAAATAATATGTGAAAAAACATCTATGTTTCCCCTGTGCCAAAAGATGAGTTGACGGGGAAGAAGCCTTGCACGGATGAACGGGGACCTTATCCTGACACTCCAGGAGAAAAAGAGAATCTAGCTGCAGTGGAAGAAGGGATGGGCAACTAGAGGAAAGTACAGACAAGTTGTTAGGATGTGCAGGGAGAAAATCGGAAAGGCGAAAGCCCAGCTTGAACTCAGCTTGGCTTCTGCAGTCAAAGAGAACAAAAACCTTTTCCGTAAATGTATTAACAGTAAGAGGAGGGCTAAGGAGAATCTCCATCCTTAATTGGATGGGGTGAGGAATGTGACTGCTAAGGCCTGGAGGGGTTCAAGAAACGTCTAGACGTTGTACTGAAGGACGTGGTTTAGTGGGAACTATTGGTGATAGGTGGATGGTTGGACTGGATGATCTAAGAGGTCTTTTCCAACCTTGGTGATTCACTAATCCTATGAAAAGCAATCTGTTGAGATTTTCAGTGATCCCCGATCTCTGCTGGCAGTATACGCAGTCGGGCTGCTCTGTTTTAATGCTTCCAGAGCCTCGATGTACACGTCCCCAGGTTACACTGTGAGCAGTGCATAACCTGCAAATGGAACAATTATATTTCTCCATTTCTGTTCAACTCAATGAGATTGATTTTGTTTAAAGATCCCTGGCTATTTTTGTTACTTGAAAGTAGGTCAGCCCATCTTCTCCTGATAGTTAAAATTGCTAAAATAGGACATGCAGCTCTGAAATCGTTATCCTCTTCATGTGTCATTCAGCGAGCAAAATCTCCATCTTAATACTCCCGTGAAAGCCTTCCTAAAATCAGAAACTGTTCCTGATGCGAGAGACTAAAATTAATTTCAGATGAAAACATACATAATACTTCCATGATTAAGAAGAGGACAAATCAAGACAAAAATAACTTCTACTGTGGCTTGAATCTCTACTTCCTTTGCTGTGGCTGATCACGATCTGTAGGCTCTGACTCACTCTCTAGAGCTCAATTTCACTTGCGTGGATAGAACGGAACAGTACAAGCTCTTCCAAGGTTAATTCTGTACGCTTGTGTCTATCTTTAATATCAGAGTTATGCCTTGTCTTTCTATTTTCAGTTTTGTCCTACTAAACTTGTTATTTCCTGCAAAACCTACTCAGCAGCATTTAATGGCAAACTTTGGCTGTGTATTCTTCAGCCCTAACTGACGAAATAACATGTCCAAGTAGAAATAAAGGAGGACTTAATTTATACTCTGACTCAGGGTTAACTGCTGAAATCTGTGCTTTTAGACAGAAACTGTAAGTGCATGGACTCATAGTGTTGCAGTGGAGTTGTGAAAAAAAGGTCAGAGGACAGTTGAGGTTGGAAGGGATCTTTCAGAAGACACCTGGTCTGATCCACCCGCTCAATCAACCTAAAGCAATTTTGGTTTGTTTGTTTGTTTGTTTGAAAGTCATTTGGACTGCAAACTGCTGGTTAAGGACTGTGAGCACTCACAAGTAAATTATTCACATTTTCTCTTAAATGTGAATTGGCACTGAGAAGAAGTGTTCGCTTTTGAAAATTTCTTCCTAGACATTAGCCAAGCTGAACCTGAAAGGCTAAACTAGAACGTGAAAAAGTACAGTATGGAGTGAAAAAAAACAGTCATCTGGCAACCAAGCGTAGAGTATAACAAATCTATGGCTCTTACTTCTTCTGGATTCCAATGCTGGCTAAAGTTCCCCATGGAACTGCAGTGAAAAGTGTAAATTACGGAGCAACATCTCTTAACGCTTCTTGCAAAACAGTTTGAGAAATCCAGGAAACTGAAAAATCTGACAAATGTGGTTCTAAATGATCTTGCGAGATAGAGGAATTGGAGCAATATTTAGAGAAAGGAACAGACCTTCCTTTAGTCTGCTAAAAAGGGTTAAATTGGACAGAGTTGTAGGCACTACCCTGCTGAAGCAAGCTGACTGAGTGACTGAGAAAGGAGTTGGTTTACCTCTCTCTTGAGACTGTCTTCTAAATAATCTTAAATCATACAGACTGCACAGGCTTATTTACAGTATGTCTGGGTAGCCAGACAATGACCATAATGTTGCTAATTATAAGTAAGCAATTTGGTTCCTTGACAACTTCAGTACTGCTCTTTCACCGAATAACATTTAATTGCCAGGGAAACTGGATTTATGCTATTTGGTCAAGGACTTGCCTTTCTGAGACAGAAGCAGTAATTATTGAACACTTAATTGTGTATTGCTGTAAACTTTTGCTTAATTTTTATTGGAAAAATACCACGTGAGTAGAAAACTTCAGCCAACTTCATGCGTCATCTTTATTTACAGCTTCATATGAAGTGCTGCAAGTGAATGGCAAAAAAACCTCCACATGATGCGATTCATAACTAGCCCTACGATCAACAACAGCTAAGAAAGAGCTTACTTAAGGATGTGTGCTTTAGGATGTCAAACGTGTTAAAAGGAAGAGGGAAGCTGAGTTATTATGGCATTCCAAGGTTCATACTAGATTCTCAACCAGAATTCTGATTCCTTATTTTGAAGTTCCACGTGAAGTTTCACAGCAAGTTTGTCAGGACCTACTGAACCAAGGCGAAGCTGAAGGTAGCAGTTTCCAGGATTGCATCATTACCGGTGATGAGATGTGGCGTCAGCACGATGAGCCAGAGTCTCAAACTGCAAGAGGCAACGCATGAATTCCCAATCGAAGAAAAAGCTGCATCCCTCAGCAGGTAAAGTGATGTGCTCTGCCTTTCAGGATTGGAAGGAGGTGATCCTTCTGTATTTCCTGGAATCCGGACAAACCCTCATCTCAGACCACTACATCACAACGCTGACTAAACTGGAGGCTGAAACTTTCAGAGTCAGGCAGGAGAAGAAGATAATCTTTCTCTTGCAACATGAGAACACCAGGCCTCATACCAGTTTGAAGACAAAAGAAGTGTTTTTGCAGAAGGCACAGAGATTTTGCTTGTAAAGACACATTCTTTTGATGTCAGGCCTCACAAGGAATACACTTCATAAACCCATCAGTCGTTCTCGTCATTTCTTAGGGTCTTCTGGCTTGGGGCCAAAATTGATGTGGTAGAGAGCTTCCAGCTACAATAACAGCCTCTGCATCTCTATTTTCCCATCCGTCAGATTGTTGGTGGAAGATAGGGCTAATTTGTCACACCACCCACTTGTAAAAGCCTAATTAGACTTTTTTTTTTTAAATTAAGACATCCTATTTCTTGAGAACTCGAAGCTAGGAAAACAATGGTAAGGACTGAAATAGAAAAGCAAAATATTGCTTCTTCAGTAAAGATCAGAGGAGACGTTATGCAAGCATGAGAAGTGGAAAGAGTACAGTCAGTTCAAAGGAGTTTCAAGGAAAAACAAAACAAAAAACAACAGACAAGTGTTCTGCAAGTAGTGGAGTTACCTGGAGATTGCGTGCTGATGGTGTCTCTGTAGAAACATCAACCTGCAGAGTACCAATTTAAATATGTTGCTCCCCAAATCAGAATGTAATTAAGCCTGTGTATTGAGACCTCAAAAACAAATAACATGGCACAATGTGAATTAGAATGTCATCTAAATACACTACGTGTATATCTTTAAGTATTTTCAAAACTTCTAGTATGTCATGCATACTGGTGGGAACTGTGCCTTCCAGGACTCTCCTTGCATTCTCTCAGCTTAGTGCCTACGCCAGTGAGGACGTTACTTCCAACCTCATTCTTTAGTTTGAGGAAAACGGGAAAAGTCTGTGACTGTTTGCAATTCTTTTTGTAATGGGTGGAAGCCTGAGTAAAGCAAGATCATTGCTTTCGGATGTCTCTGCACAGAACGCGCTAAAGTTTAAAAGATATTTCCATTTTCTTCTTTTTGTGAGGTCACTTCGAGACTGATGAATAAAAAACTCAAAGAGATTACAATCAGTAGTTTTGGTACTTTCAGAACTTTCAGTAACAAAAAAGGGAGAGGGAATCTGTGTTAATTTCAACCGCCAAGATTAGTTACCCCATTGCTTTGCATGCATAATTAGGACATGTATGCACATGTATTCACAGCCACAGATGCGTCTGTGACAGCTGGCAAATCTTAACACGCTGTACATGCCTGCACTTGGCAATTCCAACCTTTTTTTTTTTAACATATATAATTATTCCATTTGGGACACCGAGGAAAGGTCCTTCTCCTTTCTCTGGTCTGTTATAAATTGACAAGGCGACAGACTAGCTTCATTTTGCACTTTTTGATGAACTGTCCAGAAATTGGATGTAGTTCAGAAATAATTTTAAAACTCTGTAACCTCCAGGCAAAACCTTATTTTAGCAAGCAAAAGAAAAATATTTTATGATTAAAAAGATTTAACACCCTTTTCCATGCAGTGTGCTGACATGAAATGACACTGAGAGGTAATAGGCCTGGAATTAGGACTTCCCCAAGGAAATGTCTTATCTCTTGCACTAAATTAACTCTGTCTTTCTCACCCATCTTAAAGATGTCAGTCTGGGCAGTCTGCTTAAGGAAATCTCTTCTGACTTAAAGTTTCTGAGAAGGACGGCAAAACAAATATGTTTAAACAGTAATAACCTCTCACACCTCAGCTTTCGTGACCCTTTCTGAAGCGGCCTTTCCCATTAAATCATTAACGCTCCCGGAAAGGTCCCTGGGACAGACTGTGGGAGTATAGCCTCAAATCTTGGAGACTTTACATCTGCAAAGGCACGGTGGAAAATAACGAGATACTGAGGCAACGGCAGAATAACACAGGGAACTGCATAATGGGACTACTGCGTACGAGTTTGCAGACTTGCCTACAGACAACCGGTCCAGTCTCCTGGTGGCTTCTCTGAGACCTAGCAGTCACAGCACAAACACAGCACTGCACCGCAGGTATTCTCCATCTCTGCAGGCCAAGGTCACCAAAAGGGAACTCTGGGACCCGCTCTCGCTCTTTTGGTCCACGTGTTGAGGGGACACCAGACTTCACGGCTGCTCTCCCCAGGGGCGGTGGCAGGAGGGCCGTGCTGGCCTCCAGCTCAGCAGAGGTTGTTTGTAGAGCCAGTTGTTCTGTAAAATGCCTCATCTGCGCTATTCTGCCTCACTCCACTGTTTACATCAGTTGCAAAATACCCTGTATTTTTGTAGATGTAGTTTGTAGATGGCAACTATGAAGAGCTCTGAAGTTGATCCGTCTTAGAAATATGGGACATCTTTAATACAATAGGGGAAAACATTACGTAAAAAGGTATTCGGTGACCATCTGATATTAGTGGCTATGATTTATTTCTCAGTGTGATCTGATTCACGACATTATTTGATGACTCGGTTTTACCATCTCCTGTTAGAATATCAGCACTGGTACCCTGCTAACAATTTCCACGCCAGGGAGAGATTTGGTACATCCTAACTCACATGAACAGCGTAGTGGTCAACACAGGATCAGCTGTGATGGGTGAAGCTACTCATGTGCATGTTTACAAGATAGTAACTGCCTCTAGCCCCTATCACTGGTGAACTGAAGATAAATTGTACTTGCAGCTTTAGATCTTCACTAGGAAATCAGATTTACATAATTGCAGTATCTAAAATTTCAACAAAGTTGCTACACACTGGGACATGAAAAGTGCATTTACAAGATCAGTTTTGCATTGAAGGGAAAATGAATCAGGATTTTTTTTTCTTTTTTGGTGTTTTTTTCCACATTAAAATATGTTTAAGTGGCTAGAGAGAGAAAAAAAAAAAAAAAAAAAAAAAAAAAGGAAAGAAAAAAGATCTGTCAGAAATAAAACTAACTAGGTCTAGAGTAATTCTCTTTTATTTCCAGTCAGTTGTGGATGTTGATATTTTAAATGACTTCAACATGTTTTGAGTTGTTCTGCCACCTAGTTTACTTGCAAACTAAAACCATTTGTATCAAAAAAGCTAGATTGGTTTTAAGTCAAACCAGTGTAAAAGAAACATGTAAAACCAATGGTATACTTCAGACGATTAAGAAAGAGAGTTCTGGACTATATAGATAACAATGATTTCAACTTATGATTTCAACTAAAACTCCAAAGGTACTACAGAAAAAAAAAAAAAAAAAAAAATCTCCACATTTTCATATTGTGATTTGCCAACAAAAAAGTTAATTCAACACAAAGAGAACTTGAGGGTCAGGGGATAGATCGCTACAGTATTGAGCTTCTGGGAGAAATGGCAAGAGCAGCTGGGAATTACAGGAAATTTGGGAGCCAGATCTTCTGTAAATCCTGTGAATGACATCTCTGCATGTTTTGTTTGCATAACTAAATTTGTTATGCTATCGCACAGAAGAATGCATCTTCCATATTAGCCAGTCAGTAGTGAAGTCTGGGGAGCAGAGCTAAGATCTAAAGTAGCTTATTCATGAAGCAGACACACAGAGCACAAGAAAGTTGGCTTTAGGCATTTCCAGTAGGCTTTGCTGTGTTGTGGAACTGTGAACGACCGGCAGCTGGAAGCAGCCTTTGATGTGACACGAAAACATCAATATGAGTACACAATAGTGAGTCTGATGTGACCGTGACACACACTCAGAGCTCTTGAAGGAATAGGTCTATTTAAAGATTAGATAGTTCTCAAGCAGTTAGGCTAATGAACTTGGTTTCTTGCAAATGTTCAAGAGTTATTTTACTCGCAGTTTACCTGCACGCAGAATAGGCTTGGATATTTATGATAGGTGCATTAAGTACCTCCTGCAAAATGACTATAAATCTAACGTTCATTTGCTTGTTTATGCTTACTGTCATATACGCTCTAAACTAATCTGTTACCTGTGAATTGAGAGGAATAGCTCATTACCTTTTACGATGATGATATAGAATACGGATCTAGCAGTCTGCTCTCAAATGAAACAAAGCAGACTTTCATTATTTCACCTTAGCGTTTTATCCAACAGAAGTTCTTACTTGTATTATTTAGAGCCTGAACTTCAGCTCTTCATAAAATGCTTAGAAATTCAACTTTTCAGTAAGGGCTTTCAAAATTATGTCATCGCTGAAAAGTTCAAAAGTTTAAACTGGATGGAGGACAAAGGGTTGTGTTTATTCAAGATCTCAAGTGGAATTTAGTTATGTAAGGACACAGAATCGGACGAGAGTGATGACCTACAGATAGCTTTTTTACAGATAGAGTTTGAGTTCACTTCTGGAGTGAGCAGGTGGAAGCTGTAACATTAAAGGTCCTTTTTTCTCTAATGTAGAAAATTGCCGACTTCCTTCCCCTTCACGACACAAAAAGGATCAAGTAGCAATGTTACTTATGATGAACTCTATCCTTAGGATTGGTCCGATACATTTTGTTTCGATAAGAATCTATCAATAATGGTTTGATATTTTGGTTGACAGCTATTTTTAGAGGGGAGGATAACAACACAATCGGGAAAGTGCTTTATTGTCTTTCCAATGAGGTAGATAGTGTCAGATCTTCTAGTCTGGTTCATTAACTGAGGTAATCTCTGCCTGTTGGCTTTTTTTTTTTTTTTTTTTTTTTTCATTTATTGCATGCACTCCGTTTTCTTTTCCACAGAGATTCCAGTTGCTCATCCAGTAGCTCTCAGACTCGTTACTGTGAGTGGGAAACATAGAGAACTGGACTGAACATACTACCACGAGCTAGAGTGTAAAGCAGAGGATATGTATGTATTCCGAGTTGTTTATGTATGTTTGCTTTGATCTTTAAATCTAAAACTAATGCTTGCTGCAAGGTGATAGTTGCATACCAGAACGAGATTTGCTTTTCAATGTAGCATCAAACTTAGGTAATGACATCAGCATGAAAAAAATTCCTCATTGGAGGCATGAAAAATAGCTTCTGAGTGGATGACGCTTTGGACTCTTTGGCTTTCCTTTGCCCATAGAACCAGAAATGAATGTATTATCCTGTCAAATTGCTTTGACAGATCTCATTCCTTTTAGGATTAAACATTCCTGAACGTATTTATGCCTCGCTGATCTCTTTCAAACAAAAATAATTTCATTCCTTAGCACAAAATTTCTACTCATGAGACCTAATTCCCTTTGTCTTTAGCATTATTATAATCATCTTTGTTTGTGCAAAGTAACTATGATGTTACTGTCTGACACAACATGACTCGGCTCTTTTGAAATTATTGAGACACCTGATTTATACCACTAAATTCAGTTCAGCACACTGTAAACTTCTGGAAGTGATCCTATTCATAATAATATGATACAGAAAACATCTTTCTACAGGAAAGATACACGCTGAAATTCCAAACACTACAGATCTCTCGCAGTTTGCTGTAGTTCCAGAAAAACCAAGTTTTCATTTGGTTTTATGTGCCTGCTAGGTACCACATGGCTTTTGCAGTATATGTACTTCTTCATTTATATTCAGCTAGAAACACCCCATCTGGCTGGGCCAGCCAGAGAGAGAGAGTGAAGAAGCTGCTGTGGAGTAACAAAGCACCCAGCCACGTGCTGTGAGTGGTGGAAATTGCTTGTTCTAACCTGTTTGTTCAGTTGCAGTCTCTGATGAGGGTTGAGAGGTTGAGGGGCAGCAACACAGAGTGAGGAGCTGAGGGGACAGCATCTGTTTCCCTTCCTGGCACTGCTCTGTGGGACAGCTTGCAGCCAAGGGGCTCACGGGGAGCTGGGCTGTCCAGGCTGCCTTTGGAGGGAACCCAAAAAAAGCTCAGCTCTTCTCAAGTTTCTTCACTCCACGTTAATTCGGCCTCTTGTGCGCTGGTCCACTCAGACAGTGGACAACTGGTGAACTTCCCAAGGTGGCTCAGGTCAAAGTACACGAATGTCAAGAACAGCTCAAGCTTTATAGTAAGAAAGTTTGCTGTGAGATGGCTTCTCTAAAGCCATTCTCCATTTTTCCTGATTGCTCTTCAAGCAGCCTGATTTATCAAGGACATCTCAACGCACAATTCACATCCAGCATT